GGGGGGGGGGGGGGGGATTAAAAAGTGTTAAATAGGAGGAAAAGGAAAAGAATAGGTTAAAGACAAAATTTACGGGAGGATTCCTATATTTGATTCAACAAATTTGGACGACGCATTCAATTTTGCTCTTTACCCTTTTCATTTTTCTACGTTTGTAGTTTTTATCATTGTAACTTCTTGGATTTTAAACAAAAAAAATTCTGCAAATTATTAAATTATACTCAATAAAAGAAAAAAAATTAAGTAATTACTTTAAATATCACACAAGTTTCGTTTTTTCTTAACGGGGGTATGGGAAGGGGATTACAAAGTAGGGAATTGAGCCCTCTCCAACAAGGCGAAAGTTCATATAGTTAATCAACTAAACTATTGTAAGATTCTGCACAAGCTTCCCTATAATTTATTACACTAGAACTTTATCTTTCTATTTTAATTTATTCTTGACTCTTGAGTATTCCAACAATTAGCTAGCAAGTTTGAATGGACAAATCATAAGTTAAGCTACTCCTTCTATCCTAAAATACTTGTCATGTTTCGTTTTTCGAGAGTAAAATTGACTAACCGTACATTAATTAGATTAATTTAATATTTTAAAATTAAATTTTAGATATTTGTAAACTATATAAAAAATTACAGATCTTCTCATATTAGTATGGTGAAAATATAAATATTAAAATATTGATCAAAATTCATGTAATTTAACTCTCAAAAAGTGAAATGTGATAAGTTTTTTTGAGGAGGGATATTAGTATTTTTTTTTACAAATAATGTGAGTTAGCTTTTGGTTTGTAAATTGTGGTCACATTAAATGTGACTTGGCATATACCAAGTTACGTACTTATCTTTTTCTCTCCTCTTTTTCTGTTGAGAAGGAGGGATATTAGTATTGTTTTTCTGTCTCACGATTGTCCCTATTGGTGTTTATATATTAGACATTTCCAACATTCATTTATGTGCTATTTGATGGTCTCAAATTTACCCCCTCCCTTGTAATGTTTATATATTTGGCCTTTATATATTAGCCATTCATTTATGGTTTCAAATTTTTCCTTCCCTAATAATGATACTTTTAACATTCATTTACGTGATTTTTTTCTAATTTCTTACTATAAAACCTATTTAACAAATCATTTAACAAAGGAAACGTGCAAGCTTATCCTTCAAATTAGAATTTCATGTTTATCCTTTTGTTTTGGCAAATTTTCTTTATTTTCTCGATCAAACACAAGTACTTTACTCCATGAAAAGGCCAAAAAACAAGCTACCACTATTAATTGTACAATTTCGGTATTTGTAAATCTTCTACAAAAAACTCTCTGCAACTTATATTTTTATACGTAAAGTGTTTACTATTTACTTAGGTAACTGATATTCAGAAATTCCATTAGAGTTATTTAGGGGGACGCTTTAAATGGTGTCTGTGATCGCACAATTAATTATAGTATTCTCAAGAATTTAGGTAATTTTGTCATAAGTTATATCATACTATGTGCATGTAACAATTAACTAAATATATGAAAAATCTTTTAGTTTTACCCAGTCTTTATATTACTTTTCTTTTGTTTTTTACAAATTGGAAAAAAATAAAAGTATGAGTTTAAGCAAGTAGACATGGTTAGAATGAAAACCCTATAAAAGATTTATACATTTTATTACTCATCGTACGTTCATGCATTAAAAATACAAGTAATTAAATATATATCTTCCAATGATATTAATTAGAGAGACACAATTGTAGTATGCACAATGTTTATTACATGATTGATAATAATATTTATGAATATCATCTAAAAAGTGAACACTTACACGATTAATTTTTCTTTGAGAAGACTGTCCTTAAGAGCTGTCATTTTAAAACTACAAATATATAGGTAGGCAATGCTCTATTTATTTGGATTTTCTTGCTTTAATTTCGCTTTGAGACAATTGTAGTATGCACAGTTTTTTGCTTTATTGGTAGACTGTCCTTACATGATATATTTGTTGTTTTTATTTTTGGTACTGTAAAGTTTTTATTTTTTTATATTAATTGAATTACAAAAAAGGACACCTAACCGTGCAAAGCACGGGTTTAATTAACTAGTTATTTAATAATTGTGATACTTTTTGTGAATAATATTGTAGTAATTTTTATAAATTTGTATTCATGGTACGAGATACACGCGCAACACGCGTACTCTAAAGCTAGTTTATTTATAAGAATGTAATTATTGTATGAATATTAGTCACTGCACAGTATATATAATAATAAAAAAACCTTTAAATAAGTATATATTGCTAAATTCACGAAATCAATAGTTT